GCGCAACGTCGCGACTCTCGTCGCAGCGTATCCGCTGGCCCGCACTTGTGAAACATGTGGGTATATTTTTTATTGCTTGCACGCTATCATTATGTTAATAAACGAGGATCGCTCGACAACGTATATTAATAACGAGGCTCTGGCATCCACCGGTGTCTTTTGTTGTGCGACGAAGTGTAACAACAATTTAATAGGAGTTTTAAATGTTTGGTGGAGACGAGCGACACGGAGAGGTCGACGGCGGCGTTACGTAATAAAGCATCCCGCCATTTTCATCTCAAAACACTCTACAAGCATTGTTTACAATACGATACGTGTCGATAAATAAAGAGCTATCGAGATACTGTAACATTGGAAAGGTGTTAAAATCGATGTTTGCGTTTGTACTTGGTAATGCGGTGCCAATTTTGACCGTAGCCTTAAAAACTTTTTGGTGCCCAACGTATTGAGCTACGAAATTAAGGTATAAAAACAATCTTAACCTGAACGTAACTATTATGATAAATAATCAAAATATATGAATTTTGATATAGAAAAATGTTTTATATTCGTATATCAATCGTAGAAAACATTTTAATAGTAAATTTTATTTAATTTAATCTGATCACAAATTAGGTTAACATGAAACAGGTCTCCCATCGCTGTGGGCCGTAGACGTGGTCGGTGCTGCACAATGCACATCTCATCATACAGTTCATACGTACGATAATAACAGAGTGCCGGTAGACTGGTGGGCGCATGTATAATTGCGATCGAGCTCGCCTTGGCTCCGGCTGAGCAAGGCCAAGGCCGTTCAAGCGTACCACGCCCCCCGCCAACCGCTGCTTCCCCTCCGAGCCCCTCTCCCTCGCGTGCCCCTCCCCCCCGGACCCTCTGCCTCCCCCCCATTTAGTTGTATGCGCACGCGATTTTTTGCGCAGTGATGTAATCGGAATGAGAAATTCGGCGCACAACATGGCTGCCGTCACGCACAGATAAGTAAACATCGTCGTAAGTTTGTTTTTTGGAAACTCGTTTAGGTTCGTATCAATGTCAATTAACAATTAAATGATACAAATATAATAGGTGTGAGGTAATAATTTGCCGTTGTGTATGTTGATTGTTGGCTCACCTTGAAAAGTTCTTTATTGAATACATCTGCCCCTTTACGTTTAATAACGAATCATAATAATATCTACAATGTACTTACGTAGAAAAATTATATAATCGGTTATTCTATTAGGTTTTTAAACCACAAACGAAGATAGCAAAGTTTAAAAATCTACGAGTATACATATAATAAAATTGTAACTAAGCCGAATCTGTACATTAAATTAAATTATTGAAATAGACATTATTATCGATACAGAGGCCGAATCTATAGTTTTTAGAATTTTTGTCTGTCTGTCTGTTTGTCTGTCTGTTACCGCATCACAGAAAAACCACTAGAGGGATTTCGATGAAATTTGGTATGATGATAGCTGGTTATCCGGGTCAACTTATAGGATAATTTTTACCGCGGCAAAATGTCTCATTTCTGAGAAAAAATACAAAAACTGCAATGTAAGAGTATACTAATATTTAAAAGTTTAAAACCTAAGAATTAGGTATTTGGTCAACTGAACGCGGACGAAGCCGCGGGCAATGCTAGTAGCTAAAAGCTTACATTGTATGCATATAGGCGAGTACACAGACGAGCCAGACTGCTGGACCAAAAGCGATGCGACCGCACGCCGCAGACCGCAGCCCACTTCCCAGAGAACATTACACGAACAATTAAATTGGAATGCCACTCGACGTACATACTCATGCCCTCGTGTAGTGTACGGTGCAGTGCAGCGTGCGGTGTATCTGCCTGCCGTACATACACTGTGTGGACTGGCTATGAAATTCTAACCAATGTATACTTCTTAATTAACACTGTTTACTTCTTCAACATCACATCGAAAGTTATTAGTTGAGTAGTAATCGGTGTTTTGTTAATATATAGTTTTCTGATTGAAAGGTTACATACAACACACACAAGGTGTAAAGGCCGAGGCAATATTGTAAACTAGCGACTCACACTCGCTTCGCTCGGGTTCGTCCCTAGGTTGATTCCCCATACAAACTTTCATCCCCTTAAGGGATGATTTCCGGGATAAAAAGCATTTTATGTCTTTCCCAGGGTCTCAAACTATCTTCTTACCAAATCTCATCTAAATCAGTTTAGTAGATCCAGAGATGACCCCCTACAACGTCACAAACTCACAAACTTTACCTCTCTACAATATTATTAGTATAGATATACTCGTAACAACCACTGAGACGATCTCTACCAGCTTAGAAAAAACATATCTCAGTCCGAAATAAATATGTCTTAGTTTTAGCGCTTGTAAACGATCACATCATACCCTGAGGCCTGAGTGGAGATTAATAATTTAGTAAGAATGAGTGAAACATAACAAAGTGTTATAATATTGTTTCTTTAAATCAGCGAGAAATAATATTTTTAATATTTCCTAAGAATCTCTTATGAAATAGAACAGTACAGTATATTTACATTTTTTATATTTGTATCTAACACATAAAAGATATAAATAAATAGTACTATATCCAAGAAACCTCTACATAGCCAAGAAAAATGGAACATGGTGTTATAATAATGACACCAGGTAGAGAGGTAGAGTAGAAAAATATTTTGTATATTCTTTTGTTTACATACTCACAGTGCGTATAGTATATTTATTTACTTGATGGTTTCTTAGATTTCGCACATCTATTACTAATGCATCAAGCTGAAGTTTGTTTTATCAGTCCGATTTGAAAAATTCTTTTTTCAATTTATAGCTTACTACCAGAATTCGCTTCGCTCGCGCTAAAACTACAAAAAAATCTAAAAAGGTAGTTTTCATGCAAACTTTCATCGCCTATTTTACCCCTTAGGGGATGAATTCCGAAAAATGCTAAAACACGTATTTATTTCATTTTATTGAAGAACATACCAAGTTTCAAGAAATTCTGATCATAAATATGTTTTTCGGTTTGTATTATAACGTGTTTTCCCGTGGGTATGAGATATTCTCCCGCGGTAAAAAGTAACCAATGTCACTCTCCAGTCCTCCAACTATCTCATGTATAACGTCAAGAAGGACAAACAAACACACTTTCACATGTTTAATATTAGTATGGATTTATTGAGCAAGGGTTTAGTTACTTAACAACAAGCTACACTCGAAGCTCGTACGATCCTATTTATCCTGAATTAATAATGGGTTTCGGTTTTATAACAAGTGTGTAATGAGAGGTGGACGCTGGACGCTGCAGTGTGCGGCGCGGTGTGGACTCTACACTGCTATTTCTGTATGAATGGCTCGGAACGTACACATCCTGGATGCCGTGCCAAATTATATCTTAAGTATTTAATGATGCCAAAGTCATCCGTGGGACATTTTGATAAACCGGGAATTGGCAAAGAATAATGTCATCAGAAAATCTTTGAAATTTCTGGCGTAGCGACGTCCTGGCAAGCAAGGTTCTAGTACAAGATATTTATAGAGCATGCGTTAGTGAAGTTGTAAAAGTAAGGTGATCGATGTATTTTTATTGATAGTAAATGTTCCTCTAAAGTCCACACTAGTACTATAAATACAAAAGTATGTTTGTTCTTTCGCAGTTAAGTAGCAACGGCTCGACGTAACTTTTTGCATACAGAATAAATATTGGCCCAAGAACGATATAGACTCAGTGTATACATTAAGGAAATACTAAACATCAAAAAAAGTTGCAAAAGCTATTCAGGGCGTCTCATTACAAGATATACGAATATTACGTGAATTTACTTATTTTTTATTATCTGCTTTCCTCTGTTAGGTGGCGACGGTTAAATTTTATATCTGTTTACGCAGGACTTAATGTTTATAAAATGAATGCATTTGAAAGCAATTACCGAAAGGAAACGATTATCTTCAAAGTTAAACTGCTTGGTTTATCGTATGTGTGGAAACTAGATTTACGGATAAAAAATTAATAAACATTAGTCTCGCCCACGAGACGCCCACGGGACGCCCACGCAAGCGTACGCCACACATACGCTACTACTGCGATCACGTACGGTGTACTATAATACGCAACACGCCGGCCGGTGCCAACACCAACACTCGCACTATCACAATATATGTTCTGTATCTAAACTCTACACTCTGACGGTGAACAGTTTGTTCCTCTGCTAAGCAGCAGAAAAATAACGACAAACAAACGAACACAGCATTTGTTTAAATAAATGATATAATAATAAATATGTATGTTGGGACATTAACACGCAGCACCATCTATTTCCATGGTAAGCTACGAGGCCTGTGTTATGGATACTAGATAGTTGATACACTACACATATGTAACATTATATACATAATTGATAATCTATATATATAAAAGAAAGTCGTGTTAGTTACTTCGCTTATAACTCAAGAACGGCTGAACCGATTTAGCTGAAAATTGGCAGGGAGGTAGTTTAGAGCCAGGAGAAGGACATAGGATACTTTTTATCCCGTTCGACCGCGTTCCAATTTTTATGATATTTTAATTTTTGGATTTCTCTTAGTCCGGAATAGGTAAGTATTAAAACATATAATTAAAATGTGAGAAAGAAAGATTTTTTCTTTTTATATCTATTTAAAACGTACCTAGCGACGAACCCGAGCGAAGCGAGGGTGAGCCGCTAGTACATTATAAATATAAACACCCATAACTGAAGTACAAACATTCGTGCTCATCTAACAAATGAATGCCCCCAGCGGGACTTGAACCCGCGACCGCTGGCACAGCAAGTACAAACTGAGCCAAACGTGCCATTAATTTGTTTAATGTACTCGTACTATAAAGTTATTAAGTACCGACTAAAAACTTATTACACTGTTGTGTAGAACGCTTAGATTTTATATTAATTTGAAGGAGAAATTGAATAATATTGTCTGTTAATAATTACAAATTGTATTGAACTATAATTAATTAAACGCTTATTAAGTAAACTGAGTACTCACTGATGTCAGTGACGTCATTCCACTTCATTATGACGTCCGCACAGTATTCGCCTGGAAGGAAAAGGGTTTATTAGCAAACTATTATAATTGTTTTAATTTGCACAATAATCTAACAGATATTAATAAATTTAAGACTTAAGATATCGTCATTTAAATTAAAAAAAAAATTAGTAATATATCAAATATTTCAAGCACTTTTAAGTCGTCATTTTTTCCGTATTTCACTAATAAATAACAAACACGCAAACTAGCTGTCAAACTTCCGCATTTATAACAGATTGTCAAAGTTTGACATACAAGCCTAGTGTACGATAAGGCAGTACCAGATAAGTGTGTTACGTGTAGTTGCACGCGCTCCGAGGCGCTCGGGAAGTGCGGCACTGATAGTCTGATAGCGCACTCGCAATCAGCAGGAGCATCGGGCGATACTGTATCATGCGGAGATTACATAGAGCTTAGAAGGTGCTCTATGAAGTGTCGGGACGGACAGCGCACTCGTACTCACACTGAGGTATTTTCCACTCCATAATATGTTATTGACTAGCGGTGCGAGTCACCTTGTTTATGCTAATCGCAAAGTATAGATATCGAACAATCAAAAAAGTCTTTAAGTAAATAGAATATTATTAATAAAAATATGGACGAGATAGGAGTCCCAAAGCAAAAAAAAATGTATTTAAAGACTTTAAAGTCTGGAAGCTTAAACACCGTGTCACTATATTTATCTCTGGATGCACGACTATTGTTTACCGATAACTGTGAAAATAAAAGAAGTTCAAAGTTTCTTACATAACAGCACTTTGTCGTTAGACATGTACCAATGTTAATGTGGCAATTGTGCTCGTACGAGCGACAAAGCGCCATAAGCAGAGATTAAACTAACAGAAACTGTATGTATAATTCCTGTTACATAACATACTATATATAAGCTTATTTAATTTTGTTAATTCTAATATGCTCTACAATAATATACCGCAATGTCCACGTGACAGAGCGAGGAGAGCGTTTTCACTACAAAACGGTGAACAATGTTATTTTGGCGATTTAATGTATTCTAAAAATGCTATATTATAGATCGATACAATTTGTCGGGACAGGGATGTATTTATAAAATCTTATTGTAGTATATGAACCTAAGCAGAATACGAGTGTAATCTGGTGCCAAATGTTGCGCTCCGATACGGATGATAAATTAACGAAAAATTGCCGTTATCGAGCCAGTATTGCAGATATAATTTTATGTACCAAAAATAAATATATAAGAATTACACACGTGGCTTTACATGTGATTCGTTCAGACGGAATGTCCGCTCTTGACCATGAAATAACACTGCAACACGAAAACTTATTGAATTTATACTTCTTTTGGCACGTTTGGAAAAACTTATAAGAGTAAAATTTTCTGACCATAAGTACCATAAGTAGTATCTAAGTCAAATTCACTGAGTCAAAATCTGTTGAGAACAGATAACAGTAGGCCAAATATAGATATAAGTTAAGCTTCATCTGCGAAAATATAATAAGCAGACTCCACACTCTTACATATTTAATATGTTTTATAAAGAAACGTATATAGAACATGTCAACCTGTTTCACAACTCAATATCGGTGATATCAAACCAATTGTTTACGAATTCACGTTTTCAATACTTTACAGTAATTATGGAAAAATTCCGAAAACTTAGTTTTATCTAAAACTAGCATTGCCCGCGGCTCCGCCCGCGTTCAGATGACCAAAAACCAAATTCTTAGGTTTTACATATTAGTATACTCTTACATTGCAGTTTTTGTATTTTTTCTCAAAAATGAAATATTTTCCCGCGGTAAAAAGTATCCTATATGTTGACCCGAATAACCAACTATCACCATACCAAATTTCATCAAAATCCCTCCAGTTTTCTGTGATGCGATAACAGACGACGAACGGACCGACGGACAAAAAATTTAAAAACTATAGATTCGACCTCTGTATCGGTAATAATGTTTATTTCAATAAGATTTTCCAAAAAATATCTAATGTACAGATTCGGCTTAGTTATAATTTTATTATATGTGTAGATATCAAATATTGGCGTAAATCTAAGAAAGTATCTCTATTCCCATATTAGGTTTTATAAACTCAAAAAATTATATAGTCAAGTTGCGCTAACTCGACTACTGATCACTAGAAAAGTTCGAAGAACTGTTGCTACAATATCTATGATATTATAGCACAACTTCCCACGACTCCAATTGTTGAATTACTATAAAACGCGGCTTCTATTATACGTTTAAGGAAACTTTATTTACTAACCGAATCATAGTACATATTTAGTATATACAAATAAACATCTATACATATAATAAAATTGTAACCAAGCGGAATCTCTACGTTAGATATTTTTTGGAAAATCTTATTGAAATAAACGTTATTATCGATACAGAGGCCTAATCTATGGTTTTTACAATTTTTGTCTGTCTGTCTGTTACCGCATCACAGAGAAACCACTAGAGGGATTTTGATGTTTGGTATGGTGATAGCTGGGTATATATCCGGGTCAACATATAGGATACTTTTTACCGCGGGAAAATATTTCATTTCTGAAAAAAAATATACAAAAACTGTAATGTAAGAGTATACAAATATGTAAAACCTAAGGATTTGGTTTTTGGTCATCTGAACGCGAGCGGAGCCTCGGGCAATGCTAGTATTATATAAAATTCAAACTGTTAAATTATTGAACACATGATAGACTAAGGGAGTGAGACGTATAAGTATAATAATAATAAATGTCTTTATTTCAGGCTTATTCAACAATGTAAAATGTCTACAATATATGTATAGACGGTGTCAAACAAAATATTGAAGAATTAATTTACTAGGTACTGCTATATATGTATACTAGCGGACCCGACAGACGTTGTCCTGTCTACACGTCTTTAATTTGAAAATTTCAAACTTTTTTTAATAATTTTTTTGATGAAAATTATTATTCAAATTGTGAATCTAAACCATTCCCAGATCCCTTTGAACACACACAAAAAATTTCATCAAAATCGGTCCAGTCGTTTGAGAGAAGTTCAGTGACATACACACTCACAGAAGAATTATATATATAAAAGATGTTGCTCAATACTCAGATCTTTACCGCGCTCTATCCTGTTTTCTTTATATTTTATAATATATAAGAGTATCACAAGAACATAAGAAATGAGTACTTTGCATCACGATTACAAAAAAATCTAATTAATTCATTACTGAAGTTCTCTCTGTTTGCTTCCGAGACTCGTCCTAGAGTTTCGACCGTAATCGAGTATACGTATGCGGTCCGCGGTACGGTGGTGTGAAAATCAAACTTGGAACGTCTTGGTGCCTACCTGAGTAAAAGTGTTCTGTGGTCTTGTTTGTCCGTCTTACCGGCAGTGCCGCATGGACGTACTATAACTGCGTTAGATTTTATGGATATTTAATACAAAAAAAGTTAACAGATAAATAAAAGATATAAAATATAATTGTACAGCAACAAGTGCATCGCCTCGCTAGGTTTAACACTTTAATAGAAAAAGCAGATGAATGCACAGATTTTATTCCCATAATATTTCAGAGAACAATACTAAAAGAAAATTTAAGAGAGTCGGAATCGAATCCCGTACACTCGCGCCGCCGACACGAGACTCCCATTAGGAAATTAACACATAATGTACTTTTTGTATCTGTGAGAGTGGGAATATTTACAATATGGCCGCTCCTTCGGTTTATATCGCTAGTTAACTGAGGTTTTTAACGAGTACAGCTAACTAATTAACCAATATCTCTGTCAGTTATAAGAAAGTAGGTACTTCAAAGAAATCAGTAAATATTATATTAATTACCTTCACTTATATATAATCTAACTTGTTTTCTTAGTATATTTTTTTAAATAAATGTAACACAGAACATTCTGGCTTTTAAGCCAATTTAAATATGTATTGTATTAATCATTTTATACATAATTCTATAAATAATTTAATTTTATAATAATTCTATAAAAGATTGAGATTCGAGAATTCAAAATTATACTTCAGCGTCTGTTCTTTATCGTTATGAATATTTGATAACCGTGTACCTGCCTGTCTTATGCTAATTACGACGGGAATATGTACATAGTGTAGACAGTGAGCGAGTGGGACATAAGACTTACTTCCTGGATACAAAGTTACCTGTAAGTGTTAACTACTGAATGCTCGCTAACGCAAATTCCTTGACAGTACATAGATAGAGGAAATTCAAGAATATTCGCGTATTGATGGATGGATTTTATGTTACACAGGTTTTACCAGCATTTTTGCTCGTGTGGATATAATTATATGTATGTATGTACATTTATAGTATCTTCAAACCGTATTCCATCTGATGAGCCATTATAGCGTACAGCAACAACCACCCTTGCTCACTTAAACTTTTTTATTTATACCTAATATTCGTGAGATTGCTTTCAGTACGTCTTTTTTTTACTACTTAATTGATCTACTAAACTGCCTGGGTGGTCTAGTGGCTAGCATATACGGCAGATCCAGATATTCTGGGTTGGAAACCCAGGACAGGTCAAAAATAGTTATTCTGTTAAGATGGTTTCATTTAAAAACCGGAGTTGAGAAGTTGGTGGTGTTCCACCTTTGTGCCTTCAAGAGCCGTCGATCCTGTGACTGATCTCTCACCGGTCGTGTCGAATTGTTCGACAATTATGGTCGTCCCATTGGAGTTTGGGAGTAAAAGGAATAGAGTATACTGGTACACTCTTGTGCCCTATAATATCTCCTGCGTGTGCGCAGTTGGCTAGCTTCATAGAGATTGGCCGTCGTGGCCGAAGTCAGTTTAGGAAAACATAATTTTTTTTATTGCAAAGCTTTGGTTTCAACATCTTTACCTTCTAAAATTTACGATTTAAAAGTGCTTGTTTGTGCTATTTAAATGAAGTATAATAATGTATTTTGATTTTCATTTGAACGCTTCTCGTCACACACGCTCTGTTACTTTATGACCTACTTAGTATATTTTTTTGCCTCGGTGATAACGCCGGCTTTAAAAAACT